GTTGTAATGATTTTTTTAAAATAACTTTGAGTGCTAGAAATTGGCATGACATTTGGTCTTTCTACTGCGTATTCTCAAGTCCTTTACAAAGACTACTTCACTTGATCCGTAAAATCTTACAAGATAAAGTGTATTGTATTTTACAAATTGACTGCCTAAGAGAACTGGAAATATCTGTTAATCATAAATCTTTCCTTTTGGGGGAAAAGGGAAGAGAAACAAGAAAAAGGATAATATGACAATAGGATAGGCAGTGAAATAGCAGGAAGCAATAGAAAAGGGTTTTATGAATAATCCAGGTAATAAAAAAAGGGTTTTATAGAAACAGGATTTTTGAGTTCACGAGTTGTCACGTAAGAGATTTTAAATTCTTGATTCTGCATGACTTCTTAGTTTTATATGTGGTAAAGTATAATACTGAGTAACTTATACTTACACGTCAAAAAGCAAACACTGACATGGTAGTCTCAATAACTCAACTGAATGGATTCTGATTTAATTTTTTATATTTTTGGTTGGGGAATACTTTTATAGGCAGAAGCTGAATTACACATAGCTTCCACAGATGTTACCCGAACAACTCGTCATCTGGAGGAAACGATTGACAATTTTGAAAAGCAGAAAATAAAGGATATCAAGGTAATTAAATTACTGTTAGGGTTGAAAAATATTTTCTAACCGTTTTATGAAAAGATATCATAGATCAAAATATATTAAATGTTAACTGTGGAATATAAAAGGACTACCTTCTCAACCAGACACCAAATATTCAAACTTTTATCACAAATATTGTTTGATCAAGGGGAACTAATATTTATTGTACTTTTATGTTATCAAGTGCCATCCCAGGTACTTTATGTATTAATCTTCACAGAATGTAGTTATTAAGATATGAGTAGGGATACAATGAAACTTTCCCAGAGTATCACAGCCAGAAATATTAACCAGTTTAAAAATCTGTTTTATATAATACATTATCACTAATATCTATAACATAAATCTTCCTAATTCCTACTTATTACCAAATAAGTAAGCAGGGTAATAGCCAAATATAAAATAAATCCACCACCATAGTAAGATTTTTTAAGGAACAAAATCATGGTAATTGCATTACTTTAACATATCAAAAGATGATTTGAAACATTTCTTAGAAACAGTGACTTTTATTAAGTATCTTGGGAAGATCAGAACAGTTAAGACTATGTTTTACACTTTTAAAATCCAAGGATATCTTTTTAGCTCACTGAAAATTAAAAAAAAAAAAAAAAAAACTTTTTAAAAAAGTTTATTTCACTACTAGTGACAATACTTTCTACTTTCATGAGCTCTGTTATCAACAGAATAAGCATTATGTGCCCCTTGGTTTTATAATTCCCTGAAATCCATGAAATATTTATATGCATCTTGTTTAATTTCCTATCATAGTTTCAAAGGATTTCATAACATCACCCTCAATTCAGTCACAGGCTCTGCAATCTGCTGTATAATTGCAGACTGCAACTCAGAGAAGAGTATCTAAGGAGATTGCCTTGAGACAAATGCCTTTACCAAGCTAGGACCAGGGAAAGGCAGAGTTCTACAACGGCTAACATCCTCTCTTGAATGCTACAGAAAGGAGGGCTATTAACTTTAACCTGAAATTTTAGAATGGAGATTTGAGAGGTATGCCTGATGCCACTGCTATTACTATAGGGTTCTTTAGTAATGACAATCCAATTCCTTGTTCCACCACTGTTCTCTGTGTCTGTAAAACTATTTTAATCAGAAAAATTCATCGCTGCCTGATCTTCAGACTCACTTTTATCGTCCACATGTGTTGGCTGCCTCCACGGGCATTATCACTTCCCCAAGAGTCAAGTTAAAAATGGGACAGAGAGGATGAGTGCAGAATTGCCATCTACAATTCCTACTACTCAAGATTTCCTATAACAGGAGATGAAGGGATTGTAGTATAGGGGTGCACAGAGCTTGCAGGCTTCCCTCCTTGCCCTTGAGAAAGGAAAGCCACCTGATGGTTGCATAGGGTAGGGAATAGAAAGGGGAAAAGAAACCTTCACCTTTAAAACTCTGAGATACAATTCAAAGTATACAACTCAGAGGTTTCTAATGTTCTCAGAGATATGTGCAAACATCACCAATTGTAGAACATCTTCACTACCTCAGTCTTTTACACTTTAGCTTTTACCTAGCTCTGGACCCAAGCAATCAATCTTTGTCTTTATGAACTGGGCTAATCCAGACACTTCATGTGAAAGGAATCATACATGGTCATTTGTAACTAGCTTCTTTCACTTAGTAAGCTTGCAAAGGCTTATCCACATTGTAGATCAATATCCATCAGCATTTTATTCTTTTATAGCCAAATAATATGGTATCATCTGGATACATTTTATCAGTTAAAACATTTTGGCTGTTAAGAGTAATGCAGATATAAACATGTTCAAGTTTTTGTATGGACATATATTTTCATTTTTCTGGATCATTTAACTGTGTTTAATCATTTGAAGAATTGCCAAACTGTTCTAAAGCCAGTGCACCACTGTATGTACCTTCTAAGTGTATTAAGGCTTCACGTTCTCGGCATCTGCTCTACTTCCTAGTTACCCGAATTATTAACTGTAGCTAAAATAGTGGGCACCAGGTAGTGCCTCACTGTGGTTCTGATATGCATTCCCTAATGCTTTTAGTGCATTTGTATATTTCCCTTACAGAAATGGCTGTTCAGGGCCAGGCATGGTTGCACACACCTGTAATCCCAGCACTCCAGAGGTAGAGGTGGGAGGATCACTGAGTTCAGCGCCAGCCTGAACAACAGAGCAAGACCCTGTCTCAAAAAAAAAAGCTCAGATCCTTTACGTTTTGAGTTGAGTAGTAAAATACACATACAATCCCATTCAAGGTACAAGTCCTTTATTATTTGCCATTTTCTCCCCTTCTGTCAATTGGCTACACGTATTTCTTGGTGGCGTCATGTGAAGCACCAGTTTTTTATTAAGTCCAATTTATTTTGATATTTCTGCTTTAGCCAGCTAGGAACCCACTGCCAAATCTGAAGTCATTATTTTTTCTTCATAGTTTATAATTTCAGGCCTTATACACCTTTGATTCATTTATATTTGTTATGTAGTGAAGCTGAAGGTTAAATTTCTTTAGACTGTTCAGTTGCCACACATTCGCTGAAAGACCTTGCCCCACTGAATGATCTTGACACCCTTGCTGAAAATCAGCTGACATGTTATTTGTGGGCTTATGAATCACTGATCTGAGTCTGTCTATGCAGTAGCACACTGCCCTGTCATTGCTATATAGCAAGTTTTAAAATTAGGTTGTGTGGGTCTTCCTATTTTCTATATTGATTTGGCTATTCTGGATCTGTTCCAAGTCTACATTAATTTTAGAATCAGCTTGTCAACTTCCACAAGTTAACTGCAATTCTAGTAAGGCTTACCACTGATTCTGTAGATCATTTTAGGGAGTACTCATGTCTTAAGACTTAATTCTAATCCATGAATATGGGATGTTTAAAGTTTCCATTTCTTTACAAAATGTTTGTAATTTTCAGTATGTGAAATACCTGATATGAAACAACTAAAGAAACAACTAAAATTTTGATGGTTTCATTTTTTTGTTAATACAGTATCACAATTTTAAAGTAAAATTATAGAGAAAAATATACATATATCACCATTTTTAAAACAGTGTTACTATTTTGGTTTATATCCCTCCAGACTTTTTCCCATGCATACATTTAAGAAATATGGTAATAATAATGGCAGAAATCTCAAGCACTAAGTTGCAGGTACTATTAGGGATTTTTATGTAAATAAAATCATTTACTTTTTACAGCATCTTTGTGAAAAAAGCAGTGTTATTATCCCATGCAGTTTTAAATAAATACAATACTATATATAGCATCTTTTAAAAATTTAATATATCATGGACATATTTACATTAAGAAACAGAGATACAGGGGCCGGGGATGCAGCTCAGTGGTTCCGCCACCTGCCTCACAAGCGCAAGAACCCAAGTTTGATCCCCAGTACCAAAAAAAAAAAGAAACAGATACAGCCACACCTGCCTTGCCAAGCACAAGGTCCTGAGTTTAATCCCTACACCCCCAAAAAAGAAAGAGATAGAGATCCAGTAATCTTTTTGGTTATCTTCACAGTTTCACAGTATTTTACAACATGGATATCAGTTCAGTTTAATCAGTCTTAATTATTAGGCATCTAGATTGAAAAACAATCTATCACTAAACATCCTTAAAATAATGCCTTTTTTGCTGGACTATTTTCTTGGGATAAGTTTTGAGAAGTGAAGTTCCAGGGTCAAAGAACATTACATACTTTCAATTACAAAACTCATCATTAAGACTTTTGTCCTACGAGACCTTGCATGAGCACAAGTACAGCAATGACTAGTAACAATTTTAGTAATAGCCAATAACCAGTATCGCATCATAATTATTACTGTTGGGGCAGAGAATCTTTTCATATATGTAGTATCTTATTTCTTTAGCCAACATTTCTATTGAACATTGACAGTTTTCTTAATTTATAACAATTCTTCATATTAAGAAAATTAGTATTTTAAAGAGAAATGAGTTATAAATATATTTTATCATTTTATTGCTTAAATCTTTGTTTTTGTTGCCAGTCTGTTACTCTTAGTTTCTCCCTTGGTGTCTTGCTTACAAAGATTTTATCCCCAAATTTCTATATATACATGCTTATGTCTTCTCTGAGTATTTGATTTTTAAAAATATACTGTAAACATTTAAATTTGTTATGGGGTGACTTTTGCACATGCTATGAGGTAGAAAAATAACTTTATTCTTTTCAAATGGAAAGCTCTATTGACATCCTTTATTTAATAGCTTCTGTTCTGGTAAACTGTCACTTTTATAACTTCTTTAGTATCTTGCTTGCCAATCAACTGTATAGAGGTTTTAATATTAGTGGATAAAGAACATTTTCTAATTTGGCTGTTTTACTTCTTCAGCACTAAAAACAAGTGGCTTGTCCTTGACTCCTAGTTCTGTTTTCCCTCTAGGGCTTTCTTCACTCCTAACAGGTATTTTGACTCCTTTCTAGTTAGTAACTATCTCACAGGAAACTACGAACTAACAAAGTAAATACCAGCTCTGTCCTGAAGCCATTCTATCTCCAAGGTATCCTTAGGTATTTGGATTTTTTTTTGGGAGGGGTATGGGGATCGAACTCTGGACCTTGTATTTGCAAGGCAGGCACAGAACCACTAAGCTAAATCCCCAGCCCAGGTATTTGGAAATTCTTAAAATCCAAAATCCTATCATAGCAGAATGCTGTTTAATAGTAGCCAGCCCAGTACCACAGGGCCACTTATGAGCTTTCTGAATCAAGAGTAAGTAATCACTGTTGGTCAGTTCCATATTTCTCATCAGAGTCCACTCTTTTGTAATATCAGTTCAAATTACTAAAATACTAGCTTCAGAACATAACTAGAATACATATGAACATGTGGTATGTGAGTACACAAGAGCAAACATTTTAGTCATATTTCTTTATTGCTAGTGTCAATTGCCAGGTACAAAGAGAAAATAAAAAAGAGGGAAGTGAATGGTGGTGATATAGGAAATCTTTTGTATGTTTTCAAAGTTTTGCTGCAAAAGATCTTGTAGAAAAAGAGATAATTTAGTATTTCACAAAATGCTTACACTATACTGGGGAATAAATGTACTAAATTCATAAAACAATTTAAATGTCTACTCAAATCTTTGTCTTTTTAGAATATATTTTCAGAATTTATCACAATTGAAATGTTATTTCATGGCAAAGCTTTAGAGGTCTACACTGCTGCCTACCAAAATATACAAAAGATTGACGAGGATGAAGATTTAGAGGTAAGACTATCTTAAGCACAATTCTTTTTTTTTTTTTTCACAATTCTATTATGGAAACATTTAAAAGAGCATTAATACAGGTAAAAATATCTTAGATACTACAGTGTTTTGTTATTATGCAGTCCCAAATAACTGAATTTTTGTGATTATTCCATTACTTTAAAAAAAGTGTTTCAAGAGCTTATTATTGATAATAAAAGTCCCAGAGCTAATTATTGATAGCTAGAAAAATATAATCCACACAAAGCCATTATATGAAAAAATAGTGTATTGCTTTGACTGGTGGTATATCCCCAATAAGGATGAGCTAAGCTAAAAATAATAAGCATTTATTGATTTCCTGCCATACAGAACGCCCAAAGCTTTCCTCACATTTTCTTGCTCAGTCTTCACAGGAACCTGTGAGGGTGGGTACTGCTGTTGTTCTTTCAGAAGAGAAACAGGCTTAGCTAGTTAATACCAGAATAAGGATTCCAATTGGTTTTGTGTAACCTGTTTAAGTTATAAAATAAAGGTAGGTTTATGCAGACTTGCTTTGTAAATAGGTTTGTAAGAAGGATTGTAGGTGGGTTTATAGGTTTATGTAGACTAAATGCAAGTAAATGTAGGTTTTGTAACTGCAAATATAGGATTATGCAGGCTTGTTTTGTCCTAAGTAAAATGAAAATAAGTTAATGGAATTAAGTATGAAAACCTGGGTTTCAGTAAGCCCATCTGAAGTTAATGTCCTACTTTCTTCTGAAAGAAGAAAAAAAGGGTATACAAGTATTTTTGATAAAATAGGTAACATATTTTAAAAATACTGTCCATATATTATCTCTAATGTAAAAAGGATTTTTTTGTCTTTTGGTTTTTTGAGACAGGGTCTCACTATGTAGTTGAGACTGACCTGGAACTCACTAGGTAGCCCAGACTGGTCTCTAACTCACAGCAACCCTCCTGCCTCAGCCTCCTGAGTGCTGGGATTACAGGTGTGCGCCACCATGCCCGGCTCTACTGTAAAAGTTTAGAAAGCTGTGTACTCCCAAGTTACAACCAGAATTCTGATAGAATTTGAGCCCATCATGGTGGTGCCCACCTGTAATATTGTATCAGCAAGCTGGGAGAGCCGAGACAGGAGAATAACTAATGTGACCCTAGCCTAGACAATTTAGGGAAACCTTATTTTATTTTTATAAAAAAGCAAGCTAGGTATTTAGTTCAAAGGCCCTAGGTTCATCCTCCAGTACTGCACCAAAAATTTTTTAAAATAATAAAAATAAAAGATTTTGGTAGTATTTGCCATTTGACAATTTTGAAGATTCCAATCTTCTTCGGCTTCTTCTGTCGACAAAGAAATCCTGAGACTTTTTGTCCCAGTATTTCCCTGTTCCTTGGAAACTTAATTATGCTAGAATATAGCCCAACTAAAATACTGTACACCTACTGTCTTAGCATGTGTATATGTTTTCAGCCAAATTCCAATTTGTCAGTTATACATATATATTTATATTTTGTCAACAGATGACTGTCACCTTCAAATACTAAAAGCTAAGATTCTTAATTTTCATTCCTTTTCCTATTCTGTGTGTAAAAACAGATTAGCAAGCTTTTATCTGACATTTGTAAAATAAAAATGGCAAACATTTACATAGTGATTATTTTGAGCTGATCTAAGCATTTTAACCATGCTATTTAATCCTCCCATCAGCTTTAATAAACGTGCTTATTGTCATCATTTTCATGGATAAGAAAACCCAAGTATAATAAATCTAAGAAATTTCCCAGAGGTCCCATAGCTTGTTAAATGGCAGAACTTGGAAGTCACATTCTGAAATTGGACTACAGTGCTAATTTTAATCCTATGTGAGAATACCACAAGTATGGCTCTATATGAGTGACTTGGCAGGTTCAAAAATGATACCCTACTTGTCCTCCGAGACTTGGAGTCTCCTGCCAGGCATGGTGGTGCATGACAGTAATCCCAGCACTTGGGAGGCTGAGGCAGGAGGCTGGCTATCAGTTTGAGGCCAGCCTGAACTACACAGCAAGACCCTGTCTCAAAACAAAGACTAGTCTTTTTTAAAAGCATTTTTAGTCTCATTTTACTAATAGGCCATATGTTAACTGCTACTAAAGTTCCTTCAAGAGTTTTGGTCCCTAAGATTTTTCATCTCATCCAGAGATCCTACTTTTTTTTTTTTTTTTTTTTTTTTTTTTTTTTTTTTTTTTTTTTTTTTTTTTTTTTTTTTTTTTTTTTTTTTGGTCAACTACTTCTTTTATAACTTCTCTTAACAATTGTCTTGATCAGTGAGGCAAGTACCTTGTGGAAGGTCAGATCTACGAAAAACTAAAGATCTCAGAGCTGTGTGGTATACATTTTTGAACATCAACTTCCTTACCTAATGGATTACTACAGAGCAAGTTACATTTCAGCTTCCTCCTAAAATGGAGGTTATAGTACTTTCCTCATGAGATGTTTGCTCAATAGCTATTTACCAACCAATTATGATATGTCAGGCACTACTCTAAGCACTGAGAATTTAGTACTGTAAGTGAGAAATGCTCAGAGTTGTCACAGCAGACATTTAAAATCTACTAGGGAGTTCAGACATTTAAGGTTTATACCACCAGCCCTATTTTTTAAAAAAGTAAGCAGGAAACAATGAGGATGCCTGGCAAAAACTTTCAGGCACAGAGCATACTGTGCATGAAAAAGAGCAATGTATTTTAAATAGCATACTGCAGGGAGGGCACAAGCACTTTTTCATTGAACCACAGGCATCCAGGAATTGAGAGCAGAGCAGAGCAGATGTTGGGACCAAGGGAAATAAAATTATATCCAATAGGTCTCAAAGGAGGGATACTATTAATAAAGGTTTCTTGGAAATAGTGGAGAAAATAAGCAGAGAGACAGTGAGAACTAACTTGCTATCCGTCTGGTAGTACATGCTTTATGAGCACCACTGATATTTATTCCAACAACAGCCAACTTTTTGCAAGGCATTCCAGTTATATTACAAACGATCTTACCTTATTGTTCTTCACATAAAAAGTACTGTCTGGCCCATTTTCCCCTTCAAACATCACTTCTGTGCAATCATTTCAGAGAATATTCAGATCTTGAGATTCAATCCTAGGAGAGATCTTGGATCATGTTGAAGAAAATGCATTATTGCCAATAAATTAATCTTTCTGAAAATCTGTTATGTAATGAGGTTGATTTCAATATTTAACTTTTTTATCCAAAGTTTCATACTGTCTATTTTCTATTTCACCTTTATGAGAAAAGTTTTAAAAGGCCCACTGAAACAAAAATATATCCCCTCGAAATACCAGTTCAATTCATAAGGTATGATTAAGTCATACCTGGATGCCAGTGTTCTGTCTAGTGTCAAAATAGGATTTGGTCCTCAGTAACCTGCTGACTTTATTGAATTGTCCTAAAACACAAGTCTCACCTATGTCATCCTTGATTCCTTTTGTGTCCTACAGATCTCTTAAGAATTAAACAAATGTGAGGGCCAGGGATTTAGCTCAGTGGTTTGGTGGCCTGCCTTGCAAGCGCAAGGACTGGAGTTCAATCCCCGGTACCAAAAAAAAAGAAAAACAAAAGAATTAAACAAATGTGTAGGTCTCTCCTTTTCCCACATGGAGATTGCTCATGTCAACATTCTTCAGACAAAAGTGATTTCCATTAACACCTTCTGTAGGGAAGAGTTGCAAAGATAAAATAGGGCTTCTTGCTTTAGAGGATGTGAAAACTAGTTGTGTAAACATATTTTAATTAATTAAAAAGTGGTAGAACAGCTATCCTTGAGGATTTTAGCAGTAGGAACTACTGATTATAGAACAGGGAAAGTGAAAGCATTTGACTTGGTTCTTGAAGGATCAGTAAGTTTGCTGAGTTCTTGGGCTGAGGAACCAGCAACATATGGTTTAATGTATACAGTGTAATGTGTGTTCAGTATATAGGTGTGCATGGTACAAGAGAGGTATGTAAGTCTGAGTGATCTTAAGCCTTGACTATTACCTAAGTCATTTGGGCTCTGGGAGCCACAAAGGTTTTTTTTGTTTGTTTGGTTTTTTTTTTTTTGTACCAAGGATCGAACTTGGGTCCTTGGTGTTTGTGAGGCAGGTGGTGTAAATTTTTTTTAAAAAAGAGATATTTTGTTACTTTGAAAGCTATAAAAAGCTCTCTAATCAATAAATTAAAACAGGACTGGGGATTCAGCTCAGTAGTGCCACCTGCTGCCTCACAAGCACAAGGTCCTAAATTCAATCCCAGGTACCAATAAACAAATACATACTTACATACAGAAGTACCTCAGGTTAAGAAATTTTGGGAAAATGTACAGGCTTATAGCTTTGTGTAAGTATAAAACTGAACCTCTTTCTGTACTGTCCAATGTAATAGCTACGTAGCTATGAGGTATATGTAATTAATTTATTTAAAATTAAAACATCAGTTCTTCAGCTACATGCATTATAAGTATTAAGTAGCCACATGTGACCACAGCTACCTTTTTGGACAGCACAAAACATGCACAGAATATGTCCATCTTAGAAAGTTCTATTCTGTGCTGGTCTAGAACACAAAGAAGTTGTACACATGAATATGGCTGTCTTAACAAAGTATGTGGAGCATACAGAGTATTAATTAGTTGAAGATTAGGCATTAAATACTATAGATGTCAGAGAAATAGTTTTTTTTTTAAGTAGCCTAAGAGAAACCCTTAAGATTTCGGGTGTAGCTGAGAGTGGCTAAGGCAGGAGGATCACTGTGAGTTCAAGTCCAGCCTAGGCTACATGGTGAGTTCCAGGTCAGTCTGAACCAAGTATTGAGACCCTGTCTCAAAAAA